AGCAGCTATCGGCTGGATTTTGTCCTTCTGCTGTTGCTTCAGACACTGTCTGCCACGTCGCGCGCTGTCCACCCACTGGGAATGTGGCACTGGGCTTTCGCCGTGATCTGGCTTTGCCCCCCTTGGCCTAGGCCTGTGGAATCCTACAATACAAAAGAGAGTGGCTAGTCTTGTTAGGTATCTGGCCAGACTCGGTCTAGCACGTTTATGTGTCATGCAGGAGGTAGTACCGCTTCTGCAGGAACAGACTACAGGCACATCCTCCGCCAGCAGGAATCGTGGAATTCGCACACTGAGCCGAGAGCCAAGGCGCCCGTACTTCGCACTGGCAGGCACCTTGGGTTGGGTTAACTATGACCGGACACATGCTGCACCGTCTTCTGCTCAGCCGTCACTTGCGGCAGTCATCACGGCATAGCTCTAGGGCGTTGCCTCAACTTCGACGCGAATAACCTCGAAGGACTGTTGTCAACCCAAGATCCCTCGAATCGACGGGCTAGATTTCTAGGAGTACTCGCGGGATATTCACTTCTCGGAAGCATCCGTGGTCTCGTGTTACAAGACAGGAAACTCGTCGAGCCCCTTCAATCTCCAATCTCTTCCAGTTTTGTCGCCAATTGCACTCTTGGGAGTTCGAAGTGATCCTAGACTGTTGCGTAAGTCCGAACCCGAGCGCCTGAGAAAACACGGGACTATGCAGTCAAAGACCGCTCACTCCAGCACTCACCATGCCTTCGATGACTCGGGAGCAGTTCCTAACCAAGTCATGAGGTCACACAACGCAACTGGGCAATCGCTCGAGCCTCTCATCAGCACCTTTCAATTACATCTCATGGAACAGTCTAGGCTTTGGAAGTTCCCACAGTTGAGACGCCGTTGAACTGCGGAACAAGCGGCTACTGATCCTCGTGTGCAGGCACTTTTTAAAGAAGCCACTGACATGATTGGCACATTGGCAACTGAGAGCTTCCCAGCCTACACAGAGTGAGTAAGTTGGGCAGTCCAGATTTACGTGGGAAAAGCGGTGTCTTTGCTGCAGCTTCTACTTCCACCGATGGCACTGAAAGGCTAGTGGATCAGAAGGGGGCCGTAGAGCAATCGGTCAGGTCGGCAATTTTCTTCGACCTGAACAGGCTCGATGTCCATCCGTAGGGGCAAACAAGCCGGTACTCGAGGGGCAAATACGGCGAATCGACAGACCCACTTAGAACCGGCATTCCGAATCAAAATGACAAGATAATTCTCTTCAGGCCCCTGAGGCTCGCGGGCGCAGACCGTCAGTTCTTTTCCAGATCCGGAGAATCGTCCCCGGTCGTGTTGATAAAGTCGACATTACGGCCTTCAAACAGCCAACGAGAGAGCTCGGAGTGGGATGGAACATGCAACAGACGGCAGTGAAGAAAGCGGGCCCTTGGAGAGACCAGGCAGGTTGTGATCAGAGGCATCAGAAGTCGATGCCAATTTAAACCGCTGCAGCGGTGTAGACTACGGAGTACGGAGTATGGCCTACGAAAACCCTCTGGCGGCAGTGCAGCTATTCCCGACTGGTGCTGTGGGCGCGAACCAGATGCGAGTACCAGGAAACCCCCTCTCCAGCGTCGCTTTTTTCCTCAGCGCCTCAGCGGCCGTTGTTTCTGGATCCTGATGGCTGGTGGATCCAGCAATCTTAATCCATTTCCATGAGCACATTCGAACCACAGGCGCGAAAGCCCAGGAGCTCAAGGCGCGCAATGAGATCCCACACTACAATCCCGTGAAGTATGAATCGCCACGAGATCCATGTCTAGTACGACGAGACAACACCAGGAAAAGGAGCATGCATTGCGCTTGTCCTGACGTGCCTGGCTTGCACTCGCGAACGCCTCGAGACGCCTGCACGAACTCTAAGTACCTTGTTATCGAAGAAAGTTAATTCTTTCTAAGTTATAAGTACAAGAATACAGTTTTAATAAAATAGTATAGTACTTACCTAGTACTTAAATTAAGATACTTTTTTAAGCTTATTATAAAAAAAAGATAACTATATTACTAACTACTTACTATCGAGGTCCGTAAGTAATACTATAGCTTTAATTATAATAACTTTGCCTATAATAAATAAAAAGTTTAATTATAAATCCTTTAAAAGCCTTTTTTTAAGAGCTATAAGAGCCTCTAAGTTAAGTTAAAATACTTACTAAGATATTAATAACTAAACTAACCCTATAATAACGACTTTAATAAAAAACTTAGTAAATAATATTAAAAGCCTTATTAACGTTAAGTATAATTTACGAAGTATAGTAACGCGGCCGTAAAGTATTATTAATATATTTTATATTAAAAAGGGTATTATTAATATTAATAAAATAAATAAGGCTATATTAATATAGTACCTTAATTTCTTTTTATAGCTCGAAAATAATCGCTTTAAATAATATTAAAAATCTATTAAAAAGCTCTCTTAAGTACTCCGGTATATTTATTACTATTTCTATAATAATAAGACTCCTAGCGCTTACGTATAAAAATAAATTACTTACTTCTAAATAATAATACTAGCTTATTAATAAGCTATCGAAATTATAATTCTAATAATCCCTTAACGAGGGAGAGGGTAGAATAAAGGAAAGGATAAGTAAGAAAAGGGTTAAGGTTAAATAGTGCGGAATTCGAGGGCAGGGTAGCGTCTACATATACTGCGGCAATCCTCTAGTAATACAAAACAATAGAGTTAAACAGTGGCCTGCACGAACTCATGAGCCAGAAGCCGCTCTGAATGGGAGAGACAATTGGTGGCCTGTGCCAGCCGCCTCGGAAGCCAAGCGTTAGGATCGACAGAGCCAGCCAATCAAGCGTGGCGGGAGGGCAAGAGGACTTGGACCCTGAGAAAGACAGGTGGGAACTTGGGAGCTCGTTGCATTGCAAACTGGAATAGCCCCTCGTCCCATATGCGACCCAGGCGGAATGCCGTCAGGAATTACGATGCTGGTCTTGAATTCACTGCACACAGTCCTAGGGAGCAGCCAGAGCGTCAAACACAATATGCTACTTTGTCCCAGCATACGGGGTCATCTTGATACCACGCCAGACGGCAGCTCTAGACCAACCATTGTACGGTTCAGATCTGCATTGCAGCCCATGTTCAAGGCGGCTTGGCCAAGCATCGGGAAGCTCCAGTTCCGCTGATGAAGCTGCCAGCTACTGCACCTCACCAGCTGCAGCTCGCTTTTTGTCATGGTCGTCCGTTGCTGCAGAACACAACAAGCGATTGTTTCGTTCATATGACAAACAGCCAGCTGCATGCGAGGGCTTTGAAGCCTCAGACTACGCCAAGTACCGTAATGACAGAAGATGATTTGGAAATGGAGAGGTTCTAGTGACCGAGAGAGTGCGAGACCACTATAATCCTTCATCAGCTGCAATCACCAAGCTCAACGAGGCCCTTCGTCCGAAATCTTAGCGTGCCATTCGCAACCTTGTGTTTGATGACCTCAGCCTACGTGGGACTTTTGGCACACAAGCTGTTCTCTGTTCGCACCAAGAACATTTGAATTTCCTTGGGCCTTGTAAACCTCCACGATTTCAACAAGAAGATGGCGTCTTTGGGTCTCCAGTGGACCCGTGGAAGGTAAGCTTCTCTGCTTCAAAGTTCTGACTTTCTGATAAGTCATATTTAATTGGCTTTGGACATCCTCGCTCGCCCCTGGATCAAGCCTGGTGGCTTCAGACAGGCATGATTGGCCAATACTGCCCATACCTGGGACAAGCCAATCAGCTCACAGGTGCTTGCTCTGCAGATGTATGTGATGGGGCCGCACAGCTACGTCGGCCGGGCCTATACTGCGTACTGAAGCAATTCCTGACCCCTACCTCGGTAGGTTTCCATCAACTCCATCAACTCGATCCCCAGTCTACAAGAAGAGTTTCTAACATTATCTTCAGTCGACAGCCCAGTATGAAAACGGGAAAACTCCTGTGTATCGTCAAGAGGGAATCATTGCCTTTCGATATCTTTAGACGACAAATTTCAAGCAACTGCTCTGTGAACCAAGCCAGGATTACTCTACCAAAAGCAATACGGATTCGGTTGACATCCCGACCCCTCAACCTCCCGGGGTCGAATAAACTTGGGACGAAGTCCGCTAGAAGGAAGGTCGGAATTCCGTCAGCTGTGCAGCAGATCAACTCATCAACCTCGTCCTGCAATTCGGGCTATAGCCATCCCATCCAATGACGACTCGGTATTGTCCCGCAAAGTGCGGTGAAACACCAAATCAGTCGCTCCCATGACCGCCAGCCATCTTCAGCCTGAAGTCTAGCCGGCGTCGCGGGCATGTTTCAGATGCGCCATCAATCTGAGGGGGAGGGAAAGCTTCTCGTCGCAGATTTTCTCGCTTCACCACCAAGACCGCTTCAGCTAGACTAGACGAAGACACGCAGCACGACTATGAAGAAAACTCATGTGAGCATGTCGATCCCAGTTCATGCGCACTCCTCCTCTCTCTTCCGCTCGCGGAAGAGGAGGGAGCGATTCAAGGCAAACATCGTAGGACCACCGCTGTAGCCTGTCAGACACGTTGCGGAAGTTGAGATGATGGGTCTTGGCAATCAGACGGTCCTCCAGTCCCCGGCTCCCAGATTCCGTCGGTGAGATGGATGGGCCGGCTTCATTGGGCGCAGGACGTTCCCAGACCGAGCCTGCCATTCTCCTACTCGTTGACGCTGTCACGAAGTGTCACTTGTCGCAAACGAAATGCGCCAGGAACATGCCGGCTAGCCACCGTTGTGCATTGCGGTTTGCTCACTATGCCAACTATCGCCATGCGAAGCGATGTTCGCCACGCTCGATGCACACGACTAAACAACCCGAACTTGATGGTCGAGGCGAACCCCTCGAGTCACGATCGAATTCATCGGCAAGGAAACGGCCTCCAATGCAAGCTTTCGTTTTCCCATATCGTCTCTTGAAAGGAAGAGTGAGACGATCCCCCATATGAGACGCGGAGCCCCATGCCGTTTCAACCATGGGAGCGATCCACAATGTTCAGCTGACAACCGCGACGAGCTAGCCTGTCTCGCCATGTTACGAATGAGATGCCTCGTTCGATGATGGCCTCCATGTCACTTAAGCGCATCTGATCATGCCGTCTCAAGATCCGGCTCATCAGCCCATCGAGGTACGGCTGGATGATGATGGGAACCCAGGCCACCTTGATCCTCAACCAGACCTTCTGCTTATCCAGGTGCACCACGTTGGTCTGGTCGGAGACCGTGGGGTTCCGGATCGGGTCCAGTCCGCGGATAAGAGGTTCCGGGACGGGGCCGATCAATCGGCGCCAGTGCCGTTCAACGACGGTCTCCCGGACGCTCTACCCGCTCTCACCTGCGTCCGCATAGCTTTGATCGATGCCTGTGACCTCGATATTGTACGGCAGGTTGATGGTCCAATGCTGCGTCGCTTCCTATCGATGTCGGCGCCAGTCTATTTGGACATCTGCATCTATCGTCCAGCACACTTCCACAGGTCCTCCAAGTAAGGAAATCAAACCCTGCCGCACTGCCGTCAAATGATATCAGGTATCGAAGACCACATCTTGCCTACGTCGTATATACAGCCCAGACTAGATCAAGTGATCCTCCTATGGCCAAGTCAACCAAGCAACGAGTTCCGCTTTGGTCTCCGCCTTCTGCGCAGTAATCTTCGGGGCCGCCGCTGCAGTGCTACGGAGCCCGCGTCCACCGAGAAATTTCCACACTCTTCTTTGGGAGGGCGCATTCGTTCTCATTCATCTGCTCCGATTCCGCCTGCTCGACAGTGAAGATCGTTTTTTGAGCAGCGAAAGAGGGGGAAGAGAGCCCCCATGTCTCAGTCTTGGCCGGCGTTGTCCGAGACGTCCTCGCCTTGGGTCATTACGGACCGTTTGGTATTGAGTTCAGCCCGCGACTTATGGGTATCTCAAGCTGACGGGGTACCCGACATAGAAGGCATGCGCATGATCGCAATGATCTCAGCCTGACAAGTCACATGCAGTAGGCCTTAGGATCAACGCATTGGTGTTTGGATATTAGATCTGTAGCACTCGAATGTTGGGCTAGCTGTTGACGGGTTTCCCGAGGTAGTTGCGCGTTGACGCGACCAGACGAATGGGCCATCTTCAATACATCCTTGAAACTTCCACTTGAAGTTAGGAAGCAAGCCGAACTCCGGGTTCGACACTGCGACGCCAAGTCAATTTTGAAGCGAACCCCCGCGGCGTCATGGTCCACGAACACATGGAGACCAGGGCCGAGCCGATCCGAGCCTGGAAACTTCGTGATGTGCTGCCATGGCCGATGGAGAACAGCGATCACTGCAGGATGACCGAAGTAGGCGTCCCGTCCTTCGAAATGGCAACCTTTCTTATCCCAGGAGGGATCATTTACTCGAGCTGGAGCGGCGAGGTTTCACACTCTATCGGAGTCGCGAACATGTTCGCTGCAGGGTTTGCGGGAAGGTTTTGGCAAGGGAGCACGCGATCAGAGACGATCGTGAGGTTCTTGGCCCTCCTGGGGTTCCGAGACAGTGGGCTGGGTCCTGTCAATCGAAGTTTGATGTTTATTGCCGCCCATCGATTGGCGAGACACTGACAGCTCGTCTGCGACTACGACCAAACTCCTTCAAGCACGATGCAGTGTTGCACCGTGAAGGGGAGAAGGGGGGAAACGCCTCAGAAAGATTTCGATGCGCTTGCGCAGAAACAAAGCCAAGCGGTTATATATAGCTTCAGCCCTGCCAACACGGACGGGGCCTGAAAAAACAGTCAAAATCGTGACACGGCGAAGAAGAAATGTAACCTCACGGGCCCGAAGAGACGGCGCTGCCCGGCTGCTTGCGGTTTGGCGTCGTCTCAGGAGCTGATGTAGATGCTCGAAACAGTGCGTTTCGGGACCTTCTCAAAATAGAGGAAGTGCGCAATTGATAGAGAGACGTCGAGACGCCAAAGAAGAACGTCTTACTCATTTACCCTGCTGAGAGTTCTTAAACTGCATATAGTCTATCAATATTATCTCAAATCACCATTCATCTTGCCTCACCTTTTTCTCCAAATCGCGCGACTTTTGAGACTCGTATTTTTTCAAGGCCGCGTCTCAATCAAGCGCCAAGTCGTTTGTCTTTGTATTGATTGTAAGCTCCCTTGTTATATCGTATGGCAATCTATTCATACTTTGTGTGGCTCTCTCTTGGACCACGTGCTCCTGCCATTGGAGTTCTCTTTCTTCTCGGATCGGTGTCGTCGAATCGACTTACTCATCTACCCTGCTAAACCAATCTATCAACACATGCCAGGTCCACCGTCGCATCTCGATATATCGCAGCTCATTCATTCTATTCTGCCCACTGCCTAGTGCCCGGAGGTCCCCTCTAGATGGAGAAAGAAATAGTGGATCGAATGCGAGCTTGAACGGTGGACCAACCTCTCAAGGCTTGTTGCGCGACGCCCAGGGCTCGCCGTCGAATATGTCCGAGGATTTGTCCTATCCATTCGGCCGGGCTTTCCGAGAACGGGATTGCCGAGTTCTAGATGATTCCCAGCTTGTGGTGATAGCTTCGACTCCGTGATGGAGGGTGGAAGTACCGCGGGCTACTTCACATAGTGTCCGGGAGAGCACGAATGGTCAGGTCGCACACCTCTCTCGCCGCGTCGTCACAGTCCTGAATACGTAGTCGGTCAGATCCCCTATGATGTTGATGTTAGCGAGAAGAATTACACGGTAAGTCTGCGTCGCGGTAGAGGCGGAAAGGTCACCCTGCCTCTCCCGTCGCTGTGCTCGATCAATGTAATTCAACACGATATACCAGTCTCTCTAACATGTAATTCCGTCGTTGAGATGGGATGCAAAACCGTATCCATCTCACGCGGCTCCAAGACGGATGGGGAAACATGGGGTCCGTCCTATATTCCAAAGCAAATTCTAGCCGTGATTCAAACGCGATGGATGTCGCTAGATCCAGGCTCTCTGGTCTCCTTAGCGCATTGGCGGTGGATGAATAGATACCTCACCCAACTGTTGGGAACCAGTAAATTGAGACAGAGCTCACTTGGTACAAGCCCAGTCCATAGACTTCACACATCCTTTCCCAGAGCCAGTCGGTAGCGTACAATTCGACTCACGTCTAACCTTGAATCATCGTCACAGTCACAAGAATCAACATCTCGCGAGTAGTGTCGACCAAGGGTGATAAACACGACAAAGAGACGCCTCGCCCACACTGTTTAGTAGCTAGTGACTCAGACGGAGTGAGCTTCGTGCGAGCCATGAATTCTACACGCCGTATCATATAGGGGCTGAGTGAGTTGGTAGCTTGCAAGGCCAGTCTTGAAGTGTAGACATTAGCCTCAGTTCGAGAGCGTCGAAGGAACTAGTCAAGAGGACGCAACAGGAATAGGCAATTGTAAAAGCGGCCGTCATTTCAGAATATCATCATACGTTTCTCTCTATCATGACATATATCCCAGCACTGCTTTCGCTAGTCATCGCTTTCCCAAACTAAATCCCAGATATCAAGTCATAAATATGAAAAAGATTCCATCCCAGCGGCGTCGCACCGTCTCATCGTATCAAGAAACCTGGTAACGCCGCGAGATCAAAACCGCTTAAATCATCGCCAGACATGTATCAAATCAAACAAATAACCTCCCAAAAATATTCACAAACATTCAATCCAAACACACAGTACCTGAAACAAGGCCCGAGTCAAAGCACAACGACCAAGGCTTCACCGCCTGTAGCTGTAGTCGTTGTACTCTCTCTCCCTCCTCCGGTCGGAGATGGTAACCCTCATCCTCTCCTCTTCAGGGGGCGGCGGCGGCGGCAGCATCCTGGGCGGCGAGTACCTTCTACCCTCGACGTAGCGGAACGTCTCGTATCGCGGCTCAACGGGGACGGGGACGGGATAGGGCACCCGGACGGGCACGAGCTTCTCCCGCTCAACGTACACCTCTCTGATATCCCTCTCCCTGTCGCGGCTGCCTCTCCGCGAGTGGCTGTGGCTCCTCGACCGGCTGCTCCTGCTCGACTTGCTGCTCTTCACCGAAGGCTCGACGTCAACTGCGATGACCTCGATGGGTGGCAGGGGCTCCGGAACGACAACGGGTGGCGGCGGCGGCGGAGGCGGGAGGGGTAGAACGACAGGCGGTGGGGGAGGAGGAGGAGGCTTGACAATCACGGGCGGCGGCGGGGCGGGCTTGACGATGATGGGAGGCGGGGTGGGCTCGCGAGCCGGGATGAATGTGGTCTTCTTTGTGCGGACCGTGACGGCGCCGTTGGTGGGAGGTTCGAGATAGAGGCGCTTCTTTGCGCCGTGGTGATGGTGGTGGCGGTGATGGTGGTGATACTCGTAGTATTCCTTTGACGAGGCTGTACGATGCATGGTTAGTCATTTGTGTTTATGTAGACCTGGCGCGAACGTTGCGACAAACGTTGACGTCAGGTATTTTGGGGCTTACTCGTACCCATTTTGGACGGCTGGATTCGTGCCAAGGGGATTTTTGAACGTATAGATGTTTCTTGACTGTGCGCCTTTTCGGTGGCCTACACTTTTTTCGGTGCGAGGGTCGTGATGCCGAGAGGGAAAGTTGGTTGGAGTTTGGTTATTTTGGGTTGGTTTTGAGTTGCGGGTAGACGCAGGATGCGTCGTGGACCCGAGGATGGGATGAGGTGTTGCGTGTGTTGCGTGTAGCGACCCGAGGGATGTGCGAGATGCGATATGCGGGAATGCGATCCGCTAGACGACCGTTTTTTTTTGCGACACAAGTGATGTGCAGAGCGCAAAGACCGGGTGAGGGAAAATCAGATGTTGATCACCTGGCGCGGGGTGGGCTGGCCTTTTCCTCTACACTACCTAATGTCGGTAGGCACAAAAAGGGAGCCAGTGGCGAACGAACGGGTGGGAGAGAAGAAAGCGTTGGAGCTAAGTAAAGGTGTCGCGGTGTCAAATGTCGGTAAGCCAGCGGCGGCGGCGGGTTGTAGTTATGATTGTGGTTGTGGTGGGAATGAGAAGAACAGGACCAGTCTCTTTCGTCTGGAGTGTTGGCGGGCGGGAGATGCGCTATTCATATAACACTCATCCCACACCAACAACGAAGAGTCTAGGCTCTCTGGCTCGGCTGCAAGGAAGGTATGT